GATTCATCTTTGAAATCTTCTCTTACTGCTGGACGTGAAGAAAATTTACCGAAATCAATTTAACACATTTACCTCAGCCAGTTTCAGCATTTTTGGTTGGTTCTTACACAGTTTGTCCACTGTGGTCTCTTTCTTACTATCTCTAATAGCGTTTTCTTCCCGCATTTTACTCCATGGAAGACTTCCATCTCCGAGCTCAATCTGAAAACGACTTCTTTCTGAAGGAATGCAAGTGAGTTACATGGTTTTGCTTACTATAGAATACAACAGTGCGACAAGATCGTGGTTTGGACCGAGATCATGCCGAGCATGAGCTTCAAGACTGACGTATCGAAGCGTTCCTCGCATTCCAATGCTTTCGCGGGCTTTGCGAATTTGTCCCGAATTATCCAAATACTGCCTTGTCAGTCCTAAACTGTTATGCTTTGTGCAAGGCAAAATTACTTGTTGAGACAGTCAGTACTAGTGCGCTGCGGTGACCAATATTTGGGCAAAAATAAATGTTATGTTAACCACTTTCTAGCGATTTACCAAGATGCTGACGGATTCGCACATTTCTGCTGTTTACAAGCAAATAATGTCGGCAGCATGAGTGTATTGTAAGTTGAAACTACTAGGCTATGGATAAAATGACAGCGACATCTAACATTACCGTAATCTATCAAATAAATTCTTTTGAAATCATCAGCTCCAACGCAGAAATTGGACGGCTTCAAGTCTCTGTGTAAGAACCCAGCAGCGTGGACCAGCGATAGAGCATGAGTGACCTAAATCATTACAGCATCCAAAGATTTCTTGTTACGTCAAAGATGGTAGAACATTCGTATGGAAAACATGTTAGGACCTGAATTGAGGAGCGATACAAAGATCCTGGTGAAAGTTTTCTCTCTGGTAATTGTCGTCTGAGATCACTTAAGTTTCGCCCTACAAGTTCCAAGATAATGAAATGGCCAGTAGGACATGTTCCCATTGCCATTATCTCTGGTATATTCGCCTGAACAATCGATTTTGATTTTCGCTTGTGTAAAGAATGACCGACCTTGCCCCGTAGAAGCATTAGTACCATGATTTCCAATTTCATCCGCTTTCGATCACATTTTTCAGATTCAATTTTGACTGCCCATCTTGTCTGCGTATCTTCGTGTATGGCTCTTAAAGAAATAAGTAGAAGTAAGTCACAGCTGCCTTGCCAAAGGCAATGTTCGGGCAAAAAAGTCCATTTTGAGAGTACTTACCGGAGCCTATTCGCTAGGCTGAGTCCGAAAACCCGCGTTGAGGAGTCAAAAACGCCTGGCGAAATCGAGAATCGCCTTGGATGCTGGGAGCATAAGCAGGAAAAATTTTAACGCAGGATGAATCAAAAGGTGGGCGGGAAAGATCCTGGTTTCTGTTCCAAGCCAAAAATACTCAATTTTTCAACTGCAGATACGCTCGTAGTGAAATTCCCCGATGATTGCAGTTACGTCGTAAAGTGGAAGTTTCAGCCGTTTGTGCAACATGTATATCGTGAACTCGTTGATAGTTTGGTTTTTGTAAAGTCTATATTTTCCAAGATGACTCGTATTAAGTCACCCAAAGCTTGGGGAACTTACCCCAGTTATTCAAGATTCAGGGAGCTATTTGCACATTCATATAAGTGGCACAGCTTCGCAATACACCGTCCTCGAGATCGTTTGCACGGGAGCACTGCGATGCGGTGCTGTTTGGTGGCGGTCGTGTTGCGGCTATGTCGGCTATAGTCGTGGTCGTTGTCGGACCACCACGCGTGCACCCCCCAGCCTGTGCTATAAATAAAGCAATGTATTGTCGCTACTTTCTAGAGCACATTAATGAGTTGAGCTTCTGATATTGGCATAAGCACCTGCGTCTCCATGCCTTGCGTGAGTGAATGAATGGATAAACTGGACGAATTGATGGAGCAAGAATTCGAATATTTGGATGGAGATGACAACTGGACGAGCGCGTACAAAGGTCATATCGAAGAGCCGAAGTTGAAGTCGCGATTATAAGGTTTGCGGAGTTGGTGTTAG